CTTTCTCTCTCTCTCTCTCTATCTTTCGCTTGTTATATTCGGTTCTGTTTTTATAGCGACATTGTCGATGTGTCTTTTACGTCCCCCGTTGAAATGTTAACGGCAACCGGTCTGCGAGAGACAAACATATAAGAGACCGATCTGCTAGAATTCTAAAACTGAAAAATGCTCGATCGTGAGACACCCTTAGTAAAGTCTGAATAATGACTATTATCAGTAAGAATGAAAATATGAAAGTTACGTTTCAATTCCATGTGATCCTATAAAATGCTACTATAAATATTTTTGTACAAAAAACTGAAACTGTGTGCACTATTTTCATCTCTATTTGAGTTCCAGATTTGATCGTCTCTTTTACTGTAGTTTAATGCAATAAAATGCTCTTCATGAATACTCTACTATACTTGAGACGGGATAGACTGAGTTTTATTAGTCATGTGCGAATATGTTCAAAATGTGCCTCTGCTGTTAAATCTCTCTTTCAACTGAATAGTTTGTATAACTTTTGTTTTCCTTTATTTAATATGCTACAACTAAAAAATCACGAGCATATGACGAATAATTGAAATAAAAATAAAATAATTCAAATAGGCAGCATATTACATACGTTTCCATTCCACGTGCTCCTCAAAGAAGTCACAACGGAAACAACACGAGGAGATGAACAATAAGTAATGACAGCACATAAAAATAAGGGAAAAATATATATTTTTAATATATATAAAAATGTTAGTATATGTTTAAAAAAGTATTAATATCAATAAAATTACAAAAAGTATAAATAAATATTTTATAAAATTAAATTCAACAATGATGAAAAAATTTTAAGAAATATTTTCTAAACTAAAAAACTGTGACATACCACACTGTGTCGTTGATATACTCAACGGTATACAGAGTATATTTGCAGCAATTTGCACGTGCGTGCAACCAAATAAAAATATGCACGCAAGGAGCCAAAACTTCAATCAAAGGCAGCAATCAAATTCTATCTAAGATACTTGTAGCAGAGCCAGCGCTCACTCACCCATACACTGCCACACACACACACACTGGCATCTGCAGGTGCAGCTGCGCTTGTATTGTTTTAACCTGAAGCCAGCTTTGACGTCGCGACGTCGACGCAGACGGCGACTGCTGCCAGTTGAAGCCATAAGCTTGAGCTTGGGCAGCGACTCGGCTTGGGCGCAGTTGACGAGCTGAGCTGTTGGCCTAAAGACGCGACCGGCAAAACGAGCAAACGGAACAATGAAACAGTAAACGCTTGGCAGCAAATCAACTGGAACCTCACGGAAATCGCATATGCAACAAGAGTGAATAAGTGCGTGCCACAAAGCTTTGCCTGAAGATCGTATTCGAGTTGAGCGTCGCGACGTCGCGTCGATAGGTTTGCTTTTCGAGCCCTCACTTAGAGTGGGCAACGGTTGTTTAGATGTGCCACAGATGGAGTGCAAAAAAGAACGAACAACAAAGAGTGAAGAGTAAAGAGTGAAAATGAATTGCAGAGAAAATGAAACACATTGTGAAAGTGAAGATGCTTCATCATTCAGCATTGTTGCCTTGTGAAGATGTGACTGCTGGCCGGGACTTTGGCCTCATTGCAACTACGTCAGGGAAACAATAATAACAAAACTTAAAAAAAACAACAGCAACAAGAAAGCTGAATGTAAAAAAACCCAGCTGCAGTTGCAATATCTTAACTACTTTTTGTTGTTTACTTGTAGCAAATGTGTCGTTTGACTTTGATTGAATTAACTAAATAAAATAGCAAGAGCCATGCAAAGAAAATAATTGCGCTTCAAAGTCAGTGTTCTATAGATTATCTGTAATTATATACCTGTTTTATATATAATTTGTACGTTACCCAATCACAAATAGTTAGAAATGAATCCCTCATCGATGTCTCCTTATATTAAAAATTGTAGTGTAGTAGTCTCTCTGTATTAAATAGACTCACAAGATGTTAAAGTAAAGAACGAAACTGTTTAAAATGAAAGCATAAAATGTTTATAATTATTTCAAAGCATATTTCCATTTTAGCAAAGATTACGAGTAAAATATAAATTTATATTTTTAAAACACCGATGTTATATTTTCTTATTTATTATCCGAAAACTAAGCAGACTATTTGGCGTTCCAGACTTTATCGTCTTTTTATATCCTGATTTCAATGCCGATTTCAATGGGAAATCAGGGTATAATGATTTGTTGAAATGTATGTAATAGGCAGAAGGAGGCGTGGCAGACCCCACAAAGTATATATATTCTTGATCAGGGCGACGAGCTGAGCTGACTTAGCCCGGTCCGTCTGTCTGTCTGTCCGTCCTTCCGTCTGTCAATATGCTTGAACGCGTCGATTTAAGAAGATATAAGAGCTAGAGACTTGAAATTTTTTTCCTAGGCCCGTGTATACCACGCGGATATCGAGTGTTGCTTCAAAAATCTATAGCTTTCCCCGTTATTTTGTTTGCGATTAAAAACACTATCGAAAACCCGTAATAATTTATATCTGCTACATTTTTAAGGCAGTCGCCAAAATTTTAAATGTAGATTCATATGTACCTTGTAGAACTTCTATTTTTGTCAAAATTCACCCCCTCACCCACATATTTGTAAGAGGCTTATTTCAAGTACTAGAGACTGGGGCTTTGGCAAATGCATACATACCCGTGCTATAATCATAATCATAATCATAATCTGTTCATGTTCATGAAGATAGTCGACCCAAAAGAAAAGTTATTAAACAATTAAGTTACCATAGTAATCCACCATTGTAGCCAATGCGTGTTTATGCGTGCGTGCGTATGCCTGTGTGTGTGAGTGTGTGTGTGCAAGTGCGAATAATTATTAAAATATCGGTTGCTCGAAGGGTTCAGGGGATCTCGTAGTCGGGCAGTCTCATCTGGAGCTTTCTTACTTGTTTACTATATTTTAATGCAATAAAAAGATCATAATGAATATTCTACTTTACTTGACACTGGATGAGTCTGACTGAGTTTTATTAGTCATGTGCGAATAGGTTCAAAATATACTTTTGGTGCTAAGCTATATTTCAACTAAGTAGTTTGTATAACTAAAGAACAAGTTTTGCCGCATCGAGTTTTTTCAGACAATTGTCAAAAATTGTGGAAAGGGTTTCAAGTTGAAAGAAACCTGAACTGGGCTGCTAGTATTTCTATTAAATTATGTAACAAATACTTAACTACTTATAGTCATAGCCAAGTACGCCTTCCTCTTCTTTAATCAAGAGGTCTTTCCTAGTTGAGAGTCATAATAAGTACTTGAAAATACATTTGAAAGTGGAGGCTCGCATATGAGTTGAGTTACGCTTTGGCTTAGCCATTAATGAGGCGTCGAAATTGCATCCGCTTATGCAAAAAATATAAACAAAAATCATTTTAACAATTACGGCCACGCATAAACCTCGCAGCCAAAGCCCCTGACAATAGCCAAGCCCAAAGCCGTAAATAAGCCTCACCTTGAGCCACACGCAAATAGAAAAGGCCCCAATTGCAGCCTCCAGTACCAGGTAACGCCGCGAACCGCAACTGACGAAAAGGGCAATTTTTCATTGTGTCGGCTCGGCTACAATTCAACTTCACATCTAATTGCCAGCAATCTCATGTTGAAAGTAACAAATAACCCGAGGAAAGAAGAGAGGCGAATGAAACATCGAAAACAAAAAGAAAAGAAAAGCCTAATACTTAACACTTACAGTAGTAATAAAGCCAAGCTTAATTACCCGCAGACTGCAGACGTTAATCAACACTGCCATCGACGCCGCTGAGCGACTCTTATCGGCATCATCTGTCTCACATCGGAGCCCAAAATGAATGATGCTGTTGCCCCTGGCCAAGGTCCGACAGCCTTGAACTCCACACAGGTAACCTATAGTCGATATATTATTAACATTTTTTGGTGCTTTTACGCCCGATCTGAGGCAAAACCTTATATGTGATAAAACACACGAAACCAGTTTTTTACCGATGCTTTTCACACCCTGTGAGCAGAGAACTGGGCAAACGAGTTTGATCAATTAGCCAGGGCGTATGCAGCAGACTTGCTTGATACGAGTCCCAATTATACAATGTAAAAAGTTGAACTATTTCGGACTAGAATTTTAAAAAATTTTATATTTTAATTGTTGCTCAATATTTTCCAAATTTCAAATAAAACTATATTTTCCAGGCGTATGCGTTTGATGGATTACAGGGTATCTCAAAGTGTAGTCCAACCACATGTCGTTAATTGTTTTTATTTCTGGGTTGTTGTCGGTGCCTTTTTATGTTACATAGTTTTATACTCGGTCGCCGCATATATTTTAGATATACTTCGATCGTAGTGCCCGCTTTAAGCTTTGGAAACAAGTTTCTTGTATTCCGCTTAGCCATTCAGTCGCATCTCGATATGAAATGCTCGACTGGGTTTGCAAGTCAAGTCCATGGCGTAGGTCAGCTCTAAACTGGTTGACAGAATACATTCTCTTCCATCTTTGTATAGCATTTGCGACGTTTACATAATTTCTCGTGCGTTAAATCTTGAGATCTGCTCAGTTGCCAGTTACCCATCGATCATTATCTGCTATATGTACACAAATATAGAATATTGCCATGGTAGTCGCTAAATATACCATTTATAAGGAAGTAAGTGCTTTGCGCTTGGGGAATTCCGAAATATAAGATGAGCTCATGGACGGTAAACAATTAGCACTCAAGACTTCAGATTTTATTAATGCTATTTCCTGCATGGCCCCAGATTACTTAATAGTGACTGAATGCCCATGAATCTATTTAGTAACGCGGATTAATATAGTCTAAGAATAGTCTAGAAAAGAATAGATAAAACTGTGTACTATATACAGCGAAGATTAGATGCTCTTCAAATATTTCGGATATACGAGGGAATCTTGAGATATAAAAAGGAAAAATTTCAATTTAAGTATATAATTCTTTTTATTCAATCATTTCTCAAATCTCAATATCCCCAACGGCTAAGAAGTAAACATCAAATATTATGAATATTAAAAAATATTCAAGGGAAATCAAACTCAATAACAGAAATAAAAATAATATCAAATACTCGAACAGAAAAACATAGCTTCAAAAGACAAACATCTAGAGAATCTGATAGAGTCATCGAGTGATACAATATTAAGGACCATGATGAAAAGCACTGAGAATGTGCGACTAGCCGAGGAAGGGGAACTCCCGCCCGTTGCCGTGAAACTGAATATCTGGCACAAGGTAAAGCTGAGTAGCCAAACACCTGTAATCAACTGACGGAACTGCTTCCAAATTCAGATACTTTTCTATTTCGTGGGTCTCACTGCGGCCTTGACCATTTGCCTGTTGATCCGATTATCCAACAAGCTGGCTGCCGATGCCCAACGAAAGGCGATGGTGCACTTTAAAGAGATCTCGAACCGCATCGGCCACCGCTTCGACAATTAACGCCGATCAGTCTCGATCAGACACCCAAATATTTATATTTGCTAAAAGTAACAATTCGCCCACATAGAACTCCTACTACTTAGGGTAAAAAAAAGTGAACAAGTGATCCATGTGCGAGCTAAACAAGCCGCAATTACCAGAGTCGTGGACCTCCACGGAGCTAACCACAGAGTGATGACTCATTATTCACGAAATGTTCACGAAAACATTTGCATAAATCAAGATAATCAACTTTGAGTACTCTTCTAATAAAACGTTCGTTAAGATTGCAGTGAAGATCGTTCAGAATATTGGACTTATATCAAATATATAATATATGTTTTAAACGCTCCTACATATCTCATATGTGATGAGAATGCAAAAATGAGCATAAGCTAAAAATTCAAAGTCTGAAGATGTCTTGTCTTCTCTTGTCTTCTTTTGTCTTACCTTAAGTTAGCAAGTTGAGCAATACTACGAAAGAAAAACAAAAACAAAACAAAGTTCGCAAAATCGCGAACTCAATCGGATAAATATGAAAACTTGTCGCTCTTGACCTTAAGCGACTTAAAGGGCACAGACTTAATGGGATCAGGCGTCAGGTTTTATTTATGGGAAATGTACGTTAGTTTTTAATTACCCTATGCAAAAGCAGTCTAAATTGTTTGGAGTCGAGTTTCTCAAAATCGATGTCAAGAGTCAACAAAAAATTTGATTTAATATATATATATATACCGATATTAAGGTAAGTAAAAGACATTGCGCTTGGGAATGTCGAAACTACAATATCATGGTTACCTACAGTACACTTTGGATAGGAACTGCTATATATTGCAAAACAATTAAATTAAAATATCTATACATGCACATATTTAGCATACGTAAATAACATTTTCGCGTCAGATAGCTGATTTACATAGTTAAGCGCTATAGCTTAGATCAGCTTATATCAAACCTGAAAGTCGTATATGTACGTTAGTAACTAGTTCTCGGTATTAATCGAAAAAATTATTCCGTTTTCAAAAGATTTAAGGCTTTACGCTTTAGTATACTCGATTATATACTATTTACTGTATATTTCAAGCGAAACTGTCAATGTCGTAAATAAAACATAGCGACAATAGCATCGGGAGTGATTGACTAGGGCTTACACTGAATTCTGCATAGGGCTGCAATATTACAGTATGATCTCCAGTAAGGGATATGAATTATCGAACAGCTTTTCTGTCCCTGCTCTTGGCTTTAACAAAAAAACTTGTTTACAATAAAATGTAATATTGATACGATTATCACGAGTCTGCACAGCTTCCACATTGTCTGGGAGCAAAGAGCCAGCTGGAAGGAAAGTTACTTAGAATCGACCTATTGGTATTCATTTCAGACTGCACCTAAGGAAGTGCAAATTAGCATGGGCCAGGACAACGCTAATGCCAGGGAGAAGAGCAACTGCCGCAGCTGGCTTCTGCTGGTGCTCTTGGTGCCAGTCGTAGCCGCGATTGTCACTGTGGTCTGGTACTACGAGGGAACCTGGTATGGACTGGCTGCCCTCTATCTGGGCTTGATGGTGCTGCTGGTGGTAAAGCCAGGCTGGCGCTGGTTTTACATAGCGGCGGTGACTGGGCCCCGCGATACGGTGTAAGACCAATTGGATGCTCTTCCTGTCCATGAGATGTCTCAAATGTTTCTTTATAGCGCTCTGATTGCGTACATACGCGTCTTACTCTTTATCAAGCGGCTGGAGAGGAAGAACCTCAACGTGGGCGACGTGTTCGAGGCGACTGTGGCTAGGCAGCCGGACAAGCTGGCCATCGTCAGCGAGTCGCAGAAGTGGACGTTCCGTCAGCTAAACGAGCATGCGAACCGCGTCGCCAACGTGTTCCACAGTCACGGCTATAAGAAGGGCGACGTAGTCGGCCTGCTGCTGGAGAATCGCGCCGAGTTCGTGGGCACCTGGCTGGGCCTGTCCAAGATTGGCGTTATCACGCCCCTGATCAACACGAACCTGCGTGGCGCCTCGCTGCAGCACAGCATTAAAGTGGGCAACTGCACGGCGCTCATCTACGGCGTAAGCTACCGGTCGGCGGTCATGGATATTGCCAAGGATCTGCCCGCCCATGTGGCGCTCTATCAATTCAACGACGAGACAACTGCAGCTGTACCCACGGAAGGCATAGCCCAGGGCTTAGCGCAGCAGCTGAACACCCTGCTGGAGTCGGCGGCCAAGGATAAGGTCGCCGCCGGGGCCAGTCGAGCCGATCACCACGATAAGCTGGTATACATCTACACATCGGGCACGACCGGACTGCCTAAGGCGGCCGTCATTACGCACTCGCGGTAAGTTCGAGTCCAGAAGACTCTGCAGGACAGATTATGTAGCTTTAATACTCTGTGGCCACAGCTATTTCTTCATAGCCGCTGGGATACACTACACCCTGGGCTTCCGGGACAACGATGTGTTCTACACCCCACTGCCGCTTTACCACACGGCTGGCGGCACTATGACCATGGGCCAAGCGCTGCTCTTCGGGTCCACCGTGGTCATACGCAAGAAATTCAGCGCCTCGGGCTACTTTGCCGACTGCGCCCGCTTCAACTGCACGGTAAGCAGGCAGCACTGCGCGATCTTTGACAAGTTCTCATCTCAGGCATGTTTCCAGGTCGGCCAGTACATTGGCGAGATGGCGCGCTACGTGTTAGCTACGCCGGATGCGCCACACGATCGGCAGCACCAGGTACGCATGGTCTTTGGCAACGGACTGCGCCCGCAGATCTGGAAGCGGTTCGTCGAGCGCTTCAAAATAGCTAAAGTGGGCGAGTTCTACGGCGCCACCGAAGGCAATGCAAACATCATAAACAACGACAACACTGTTGGTGCCATTGGCTTCGTTTCCCGCATACTGCCGCAGGTCTACCCCATTTCTATTATCCGCGCTGACCTCCACACTGGCGAGCCCATACGCAACGAGAAGGGTCTCTGTGAGCTGTGTGCGCCGCATGAGCCGGGCGTGTTCATAGGAAAAATCGTTAAGGGCAATCCATCCCGCGAGTTCTTGGGATATGTGGACACCAAGGCCTCCTCCAAGAAGGTCGTCTACGACGTATTCAGCAAAGGCGACAAGGCATTTATATCGGGCGATCTGCTGGTGGCCGATGAATACGGTTATCTATATTTCAAGGATCGCACGGGCGACACGTTCCGGTGGAAGGGCGAGAACGTCTCCACCAGCGAAGTGGAGGCAGTGCTCAGCAATCTGGTCAACTACAAGGACACCATTGTCTACGGAGTGTTCATACCCCAGACAGAGGGACGCGCCGGCATGGCCGCCATCTATGATCCCACCCGGGAGGTGGATGTGTCCAAGCTGGGCACAGCACTCGCCAGCGCCGTGCCCAGCTATGCCCGTCCGCAATTCCTGCGCTTCTTGCGTCGCATCGATCTAACAGGAACATTCAAGCTGCGTAAGGTGGAGCTGCAGCAGCAGGGCTATAATCCAGCCACAATCGAGGACGAGCTCTTCTACTATTCCCAAGACAATGGCTGCTATGTGCCACTGACGCAGCCCATCTACGACCAAATACAACGTGCCGAGCTGCGCTTCTAAGCCATCTAATGAACTAATGCTGTTGTTCTTAGCTTTAAGTATCATATAAGACTAACAAGATAGAACGAGTATCCTTGAAGTGCTGCAACTTAGTCATATCTCACACAGATCTAAGATCTAAGATGTCTTTTGTGTAAGACGCTTGAATAGGAAAATCATTCAAGCTTTGGAGAAATATACATAAATATGTACTTTACGAATATTACATCTACAAGGGTACAGGTTACTTTTGCCAGAGCGACAAAGCTAGTTTCACATTTCCGAATCTATTTAAGATAAGCTCTGTTTTAGTAAATAGATCCGTGTATTTTGCTATCGTATTAAATAAAAGTCTTACAGGCGAACAGTGGAACAATATCTAAGGTTAAATACTTGTGGGAGGGAGTTGAGCATTTTAGTCCTTTGGAGACACATCCTTTGCGAGCTCGGCACGTTTCTGCTGCTCCATGCGCTGTTCGACCTGGTCGAGGCGTTCGCTCATCGCATCCAGCGAGGTGAGCAGGCCTGCTTGTATTTCACCGTAACGCTTCATGGCCAATATGAGGCTCTCCTCAATTAGTTCGCTTTGCTGAGCATATTCGTCGTTATTTTCCGTGATCTGCTTGAGCTTGTCAAGACACTCGCTGGGTATGCTCCGAAAATATTCGGCACCGAGCGCCGGCTCCAGCTGTTTGATTCGTGCCAGCTGTTCGCTTTGTGCATATAGCTCAGGGGCAACGGCATTTATGTAGACTTCTTTGGCGCGAACCTGCTGCTGCTCCTCCAAGTAGTTGGGATCCAAATATTTCTCCAATTCCGCTGCACGTCCCACGCACTGCTGCACCTGGATTCGTCCCGTTGTGGCTTCGCTCAGCAAGGCGTTGGCAGAACAAAGAGTGTCCACAATGTTGGCAGTCTTCGTTGTGTTTCCATCGTCTCCAACTTGTGCTTCCGGCAGGGGACCTAGCACACGGTTCAATGCATCTATTCTTTTTTCCAAAATGTCTAGGGCTTCCATTATAATAAGCAAATTTCTTAAAGAAAATGGAATGATGTCAGTGCAGTTAAAAAACACAAAAACACACAAAAATACCGAAAAACGCGTTGCAATATTATGGTAATCTTTTACAACACTAATCAGATAAATAGGAATATCGATATTTTATTGGTATATTTGAATATGTTGATACCTTTTTTATACATTTATGTGTATCGCCGCTAATTGCTTTTATTAATATTATAAAAACTACTTTTTGCACACAGTGATGAATCATTCATATTTTTTTTACCTTTGTTTTAATTCATACAATAGTTCTGTATCGTTAGAAACCTTTAAATTTCGATATATTAAATATCGTATTCAGTTGGCGATTATCGAAGTTCATTTAAATAATTTGTTTATTTGCAGTAGGATTTATAGTTTATAGTTTAAAATTCTCTAGCGATAAACGCTCAGCATCCTTATTTATCTGCACCACGCTATCTTCAGAAATGATGCGAACCACATCTGCATCCAAGTCGTCACCCGGGCTGTCGTCCAGCACGCACAAGAGTCCATCATTATCAATGTAAGGAAAAAAGAATTCCGGCTTATCCCATTTGGAGCGATCGCCGATGACACAGTGCGACTCGTTAGCCATGTGCTCAGCCAAGAGCTCAAACTCATCAAATTGCAAATCACAGCAAACACAACGCAATAGGCAGAGCTGCCGTCGC